TATAGGAAGTTATTAAAGACTGGTAGATAATGCATGGCCAGTGGGTCTTCCCAGCTGATAAACACAAGCTCCTTTAACTCTCGGCGTTGTGTGTGTGTGTCTGTGTGTGTGTGTGTGTGTCTGTGTGTGTGTGTGTGTGTCTGTGTCTGTGTCTGTGTGTCTGTGTGTCTGTGTCTGTGTCTGTGTGTCTGTGTCTGTGTGTGTGTCTGTGTCTGTGTGTGTGTGTCTGTGTCTGTGTGTTTGTGTGTCTGTGTCTGTGTGTCTGTGTCTGTGTGTGTGTGTGTGTGTGTGTCTGTCTGTGTCTGTGTGTGTGTGTGTCTGTGTGTGTGTGTGTGTGTCTGTGTGTGTGTGTGTGTGTGTGTGTCTGTGTGTGTGTGTGTGTGTGTGCAGGTATTCAGTAACATATGCACCTCCTCCCCCTCAGGTACACGATAGTTCGGGCTCCGGACGGGTCTTTTGGTAACAAGCTGCCTGACGGGACGTGGACAGGCATGGTAGGGATGGTGGGCAGGAAGGTAAGTGTATCAGGTTATGTTGACGAGATAAACTTAAGCTGAAGGAACTATAATGACGGATGTAACTTAGAGAATCCACCTCCTCCGTCGTTGATAAGTGAGATGTCCTGTGTTTATTTGCCTGTAGGAGGTAGATCTCGGCCTTGGTCCCTTCGGTATCTCAGCAGTAAGGACAGAGGTGGTGGACTACACGGTCCCCATCATGAGTGACTACCTGAGGATCTTGGGAGGGCGTGGCAAGCCGGAGGTGGACCCGTGGGGTTTCCTGCTGCCTCTGGCCCCGGCGGTGTGGGCGGTGATGCTAGCGTCTCTGGTGCTGTTGTTGACGACGGTGTTACTGCTGTCCTTCTGCTTCTCCGTCAGAGTGCCGATGTTGTCCATGTATTTCCGTGTGTTGCTACAGGAGAGTAAGTGAACAGTTAGGTCTTACAGCCGAGGAGTTTCAATACTGTATATGTGTTTATTAGTTACTGTCCTCCAGGTGTTTTCAAGACATTAAACCTAACCTAACCTAACCAAACCTAACCTAACCTAACCTAACCTAACAGATACGTGGGTGTCGTCTGATCGGTGGTGGGAGCGGATGGTGTTAGGCGGCTGGATGATAGTGATGCTGGTGCTCACCCTCAGCTACTCTGGCAACCTCATGTCCCTCCTGGCGGTGAGGTACATCCCACAACCCTTCCAGTTCTTGAGGGACCTCCTGGAAGACCCCTCCACCACCATGATCTGGGAATACAACACAGTTTACGTCAGTCATTTCCGTGTGAGTTTATACCATCTCTCTCGTCTACCTGTGGCGATTACTACTACAGGTGTTAAAGGGAAGAACGAGGAGATAGAGTGAAGAAGAATAATCACCTTACAGAAACATTTAATTGATAAAGAAAATACACAAGGAGCTAAACTAACCATTAGACAATAGTTCTCACCTGTGATGTGTGTTGTATGGAGGTGAGACGAGGCAGATGACCCCAACATCTTAACAACAGAGTTTAAATCCTGATACAACCCCCTAAGATACAAACTCCTCCCGTGTACTGTCTACTGTCTCTATTGTCTACTGTCTACTGTCTCTACTATCTCTATTGTCTACTGTCTACTGTCTCTACTGTTTACCATCTCAACTGTCTCTACTATCTACTCTCTACTGTCTCTACTGTTTACTATCTCTACTCCCTACTGTCTCTACTGTCTATTCCCTACTATCTCTACTGTCTCTACTGTCCACACAATCATCTTCCGTATATTTTTAACACCCTTTTCTCTGCACCTTTCAAGACGTCAACCTCAGGTGCTCTCCGGGAGGTGCGTGACGCGGAGGGGGAGGAGCGTATTGACTTTGTTCTGGCGACGGAGTACCCGACCATGTTAGACCAGCTAGTGAGGAAAGGACCCTACGTGTATGTAGGGGAAGACCTCACTATCAAGGTTCTAATGGCTCAAGACTTCTCTAACACAGGTTCTATTGCAGTGAATTCAAAGTCCAGTTTATGATAAGGACGTAGAAAAATATATAGAAAAAATCGATAAAAATCATAGTATTCTGATATAATTTTCTATATAGAGTTAATAGATTATAAATAGAATGTTTAAAAAAAAGTTTGTTTATGTCCAATTTGATTTATTTTGGTCTATATATAATGTTATAGATTAATTCACTGATGTTTATCTTATGGTCTTTAGGTCAGTGTGACTTTTACACGTCTAGGGAGGCTTTTATGCCCTTCTTGTACTGTATGATTGGCTCTAAGAACAGCCCCCTCGTACCTGCTGTGAGTAAAAGGTGAGAATATGTGGTCTTGTGGTCTCATTAACACACACACACACACACACACACATCACTAATATAATCTAGAAAGAACTTAATCAAAATAATATCTCATTAAGGGTTCAGGTAACTCTCTACACCTGACATTTCAATTAGGAATTCATGGACAGGTGTGTTGGCCATTAAACAAATAAAAATAAATAAAATTAACTGAAAAACATTATATCCTGTGTTTAATATATATATGTAGATAACTAATTTCTCTATGACAGAATCACCTGGATAACAGAGGCCGGGTTATATGATCACTGGATGAAAAGTCAAGACAAGAACTCGACCGTGTGTGTTCGTCCGCCCACCAAGATCACCGTGAGAACTTCCCTGTCTCTCTCTAACATCTGGGTAAGGTTGTTGATATTGAAACAGTTCATTTAGCCAGAAGAACACAGATACAGAGTGGATAATGATAACAATATTAACATGGCTGAGCCAGTTGAGAACCTGAGCTCTCTGTTAGGCACCTGATATATACTATACATATATCTCAAGGAAGTATTATGTAACATTTAGTATCATCTGGAATAGTACAATAGTATGGTGGTAATAAGAACATATCAGAATGTTACCAAGGTTATCACTTCAATATTTATTTATTTTATTTATTATTTGTTTACATTTATATTATGAGTATATACACACTTTACAGTGGAGTTGTTATACATAAATATGATAAGGGAGGGAAGCAGTACAACACGGGCTGTATTAAGGTGGAACAAGAGGACACAGCTGTTAGTATCACGTCAAGTTTGCAAATATATTTATTACAATGGTAATTTCTGTCTATCAACATGACAATTTAATAATGGTTTTGGTGGTACAATAAAAACAGGAATATTAAGTAGGAATTACAAGATTATTAATACTTAGACAATAGATACTTTTTATGAGATGATTTAAAGGAAGGGAGCGTAGTATTTGCTCGGATTGGCATAGATAGGAATCGTTGAAAAGACAGAGACAGACAGACAGACAGACAGACAGAGAAAGAAAGACAGAGACAGACAGACAGACACGTTCAGATGTTGTTTGTTTTCCAGGGAATGTTTGTGGTCTTCGCTGGCGGTAACTCGCTGGGGTTGGTGGTGCTGTGCCTGGAGTTGCTCACCGCCAGGCTATAAGAAGCTTCTCCACCACTGTATCTCTGTCTCCGTGATCTCCTCCTCACCCCCCCCACCACCACCACCACCACCACCACCACCACCACCCACCACCACCACCACCCACCACCACCACCACCACCACCACCACCACCACCACCACCACCACCACCACCACCACCACCACCACCACCACCACCACCACCACCACCACCACCACACCACCACCACCACCACCACCACCACCACCACCACCACCACCACCCACCACCACCACCACCACCACCACCACCACCACACACCACCACCACCACCACCACACCACCACCACCACCACCACCACCACCACCACCACCACCACCACCACCACCACCACCACCACCACCACCACCACCACCACCACCACCACCACCACCACCACCACCCACCACCACCACCACCACCACCACCACCACCACCACCACCCACCACCACCACCACCACCACCCACCACCACCACCACCACCACCACCACCACCACCACCACCCACCACCACACCACCACCCACCACCACCACCACCCACCACCACCACCACCACACCACCACCACCACCACCACCACCACCACCACCACCACCACCACCACCCACCACCACCACCACCACCACCACCACCACCACCACCACCACCACCACCACCACCACCACCACCCACCACCACCACCACCACCACCACCACCCACCACCCACCACCACCACCACCACCACCACCACCACCACCACCACCACCACCACCACCACCACCACCACCACCACCACACCACCACCCCACCACCACCACCACCACCACCACCACCACCACCACCACCACCACCACCACCACCACCACCACCACCACCACCACCACCACCACCACCCACCACCACCACCACCACCACCACCACCACCACCACTTCCCGATATATAAATATATTTTTTTTATTGATACTAAATGAAATAAATTAACTTTACTTTTTAAACTTTATTAATTTAGTTATTGTATGTCTTAAATAAATCGATCTACAATTTAATAATTTTTTGGGTTACATTATTTACCTATTGTAGTGATGTTTAACCATACTCATCTAGTCGATACACACACACACGTACACACACATACATACATACACATACACACATACACACACACACACATACACATACATACACACATACACATCCCCCTTGACACCATCTAGAACTCATGTTGAATTTAAAAAGACAACAGTACATATAATCGTATGCCTTCCTGCTACTGATGTATTATGTATGGACACACCATATGCACACGTACACCAGATACACACATACACCATACACAGAGAGACATACACAAGTAATGTGACCTAACCTGACTGTACATTGGTGATCTGTAATTTGACTCAACATGCAACGAGAGAAGTTTCTGTTGAGGAACGCAATTAATATGAAAACTAAATAAGATATGAATTCCTTACAGTTCATACGATTATAAATACAAGAAATATATTTAAATAAACCTTTTCTAATATCACCTTAGATGTTTTTTTTATGAGCGAAGTGAATCATGTTGGGTTAAACAATAGACAATTAATGTACGATAATTTAGATTTTAGTTCGGTGTTGGTGTTTATTATCGTACTTTGGCAGCGTGTGTATAGACTCCCGCACGTGTCATCTTCTTCAACACGTCAGTACTCAGTACCTCACCTGAACCAATCACAGCATTGGTATTCTGGCTACAGCGACCAATCATCCTTATACTATAAAAAAATCGACCAATAGGGAGTTAGGTGACGACTGTGTGTGGTGCTTATAGGTAATAAAATAGCGGAGCAGAGCGGTAAAGGAGGCACTAGACTGGAGGAGCTGCTGCCGTTAACACCGTCGTCAAGGACCGCTGCTGTAAGACCCATTATTGTTGTTCTTGTCTTTACAGTGAGTTTTGTATTTGGAGTTTTAGAAATTATGTCACATGGTACTCTTCTGAACATGAATATATATGAAACGAGTGTGTATGTGTGTGAGTGTGTGTGTGTGTGTGTGGGTGTGTGTGTGGGTGGGTGTGTGTGTGGGTGGGTGTGTGTGGGTGTATGTGTGTGTGTGGTGTGTGTGTGTGTGTGTGTGGTGGGTTTATGTGTGGTGTGTGTGTGGTGTGTGTGTGTGGGGTGGTGTGTGTGTGTGTGTGTGTGTGGGTATGTGTGTGTGTGTGTGTGTGTGTGTGTGTGTGTGTGTGTGTGTGTGTGTGTGTGTGTGTGTGTGTTTCTCTTCCCAAGCTTAGTGTTCATTTTCTGTTCGTATCACATATCCAGAAATACAATAAGATAAATTCTCTTGTGTTATTAAAAACTTTACTTTTACAAATTAAGAGAAAATCATCAATGAGAGGTACACTCACAATGGTCAGTCTTCACCAAATTTAACAGATTCATAGCTGATCACTTCATTAGGTTTGGTAACAAGCAGCGCGGTAATCCTAGTTATCTTTCATCAACAATTTGCACACAAGTAATACCTATAATACACTTTACTATTGACTGCCAGCAATGTTCGGAGTCATGCCCCAAGGAGTGCCAGCCCCAGTGCCCTCCTGTCTGCCCAGTGCCCATCCCTTTCCCCAGTGTGAGGACTACAGTGCCAATATTCCTGACACTCGGCGTTTCAGTTTGTGAGGCGGAGGTCAGGCCTCTCAGACAAAACGTTCAACAATCTTTGTATTCTCTCAACAGTTTGATCTCTCACCATCATTAAATTTCAAAGATGTTGTGAATAACCTTTTGTCATCTTGTGTGAACTAGAAATATAATATCGGAAGAAATCTACGAGTTCTTTACTCATGTATTTCACTGTTAATATTATTCTAAACTAATAATTTATTTCTATAAAATATTTATAATGAATAAAGCTAATATATTACTGTTCACGTTAACTGTACTAATTTTATCATCTTGTGCTGAACAAAATTTTAAATAGAGAAATACTTCTAGTTGATGAAATCCAATATTATTATAATTTACCGACACAAGAAACATACCGTTGGTGATGATTACATGAGCCCCAAGCGCTCTGGCGTAGGGTCCCTCCCCCCCCCTCCCCCCCAACCTTAACTAGACCCTGACTGTATATATGTAGACACTGAGCGATAAAGTGGTTTAACTCAGAGGTGGGTGGTAGATGAAGAGGTGAGGGTGGTCCAGGCAGTCGGGGTGAGAGTGGATGAGAGAACTTGACAGGCGTTGTTCTGGCGGGTGGATGACAGTATAAACCAAGTCGATATATAGAGTCGACACCCGGCGGCCAGAGGTGAAAAATGTTCACCTTCAGACTGTACCAAGACGAAGCCATTAGACTTTGGCCAGAGACTTCACAACGACTGTCTGTGTTAAATTTACGATTATTTTACAAGTCTTATTTAACACCTAATCATCATGTACGGATAAGATGAATCAATCTACTTTTGATGTTTTACACAGAGCTATGATGCAACGACACCACTTCCGGATAACAGACTTACAGGACCGGGCTAAGTTCATCTGGATGTGGAAAGACGGCTTCTCTGTCCGGATGATCGCGAACGAGACGGGAACGAGCGTGACAACTGTGTACAGGTGGATCAGGCGGTGGCAACGAGAGGGTAACTTATGCACCAAGACTCGCAGTGGAAGACCTCGCTTACTACTGAAGGAGGAGAACCCACAAGACCAGCAGCAGAATAACCCCGGTCATACCTCGAGTAGTTCAGCCCTAGATGCTTCTTCATATCACCCTTGGTTACCTAACGCCGTTCCTCCCCGTAGTTACCTGGAGGGACAATATCACTCCTTGCTTGTAAACACTGATCGCTTCAATAAATACACGAACACTCAAGATAATCTCCTGCAGGTGAACCAATCGCCCACAGTGTCCGCTTTCAGGAGATACGTCGCCAGGAGTGATGGTTCTGACGGGAGGAGGTTGTCTCTCCGTTAGTCGTGGTGACCGTTAGTGATGGGCGCTACAAGGACGATACGACGATACCCGAATCACCACAAACGATACCCGAGTCAGTGATGGGCGCTACAAGACGATACGACGATACCCGAATCACCACAGAGAGAACACCAGCAAGATTCATAGATCCCAAATACGTTTTGCTGGGATACCCTAAACATTAGGGCGACTCTGATAACTATTGTATAAAACTGTATCTTTAGTATCAAGTAATATGTCGTGGAATATCATTAACTTTCTTACTTTCCTTAACATTATTTTCTTTTGTGTAACTTTGATTGTGTGTGACTGTATGTGTATGTTTTTTGTGTATGTGTGTATTTGTGTTTGTGTGTATGTCCTCATGAACCAGAACACGGTCGGCCCCAAACACACATCCTTGCCTGAGTAGAACAACATCATCATTCATCCTAAGACGTGTTGCCAGACGCTAAAAGTCAATATTTAAAGGAACTACTTAAGTCTACCCTCGTATCTTGTCTGAGAACATTGGCTCTATTATTCCCGTTTTCTCTCTTTATATGTACAGTTGACTACACTTATATCTGGTACAGTGGCTGGTGTATTTTGTGAGATGTGGCAACTGTGTGTTTATTTACATCGTGCTAAAACTTAAGTAATGGTAGACAGACTCAAGATGCTAGATAAGTATTCCACAGAGTTGCCACGTCTCACAAAATACACCAGCCACTGTACCAGGTATAAGTGCAGGTGACTGTACAGTGAACGAAGATGAATCAATTTGATAATGAAAAAACAAAAACAAATATGAGACGAGGTATAAAAATTCATGAAACCAAAATCAAACAAACAGTGTGTTGATGTTCTATGACAGGCAGTGAGGATACAGTACACTGCATACTAAACTACGGTACAGAAGGAGGCAGCGAGACCGGCACTGTACTTGACAGCCTTTGCTTCACTAGCTCTAAGGTCAGATACTGTACCCATTAACAGGTTGGGGGGGGGCTAAGGGTGCGAACCAGTGGACCACCAGGAGAGGTAGTGTGTGTTGTAACCACTCGGCCACCGCACATTTGGATATTCATAAGTAAAATGTAATTCATAAATTATTCAAAGCATGAGAAAAAGCACTCTCGGGAGTGCCTAGTGAGGTGTGAGGCAATGTTTGTGTTTAATAATTCACGAGGGAAACACGAAGCAGAAACGACATGGGAAGTGAGAGGGAGAGAGAGAGAGGGGGGGGGGTTTCTGAGAGAGAGTGAAGGAGAGAAAGAGTGAAGAAGAGGAAGAGTGAGGGAAAGAGAAATGGAGAGAGAGCAACGAGAAAAGAGAGAGAGAGAGAGAGAGAGAGGTATGTAAATGGGACACATTAACTTAACAAAGTCAACTAATATTAATTGTCAATGAATATGCAAAGAAATAATCATACAGTAATAGACGTAAAGGAAACATAATGTCCTTTCATGCCACTTTAGTTCTCTGACAAATCGTTTCACACCTTGTCTAACCCACCATATCATCTTCAATTCGTTCTTTAGTCCAACCACTACAAAGTACGATAGTCAATTTTCAAAGGTCCATGTTTGACTAATATTTAACCCTTGGTCCTGGTAATATTGGTCGAAAGTACTGTACCTATATCCTATTATTCCTCTCCCATACACCTAAGAAACTTTTTTACCCGTGTACCGTCTTGTCTCAAATGTCTCCTCGTTTTTCTAGTTAAACCTCAAGAGAGCCCAGGATATCATAGTTTCCCCATTAACACTTTCCATTTTCTGCGATTAATATATTATAGGGGATACTCGTACATTTTATTGTTACGGCATAATAGAAGACTAGACAGAACGATTTAATTATTTAAGAGATTCATAGCCAGAAGTCTGTACCCACACCATCTATGGAGAACACAACACACTAACCTTCTACGTGCGTTATAGGTGGCGTGAACGTGTATATTTGGGTACAGAATCTTTTATTACAGATTTTTTTCCAATAGATGGCATGTCAATGTTTAGTAATTTTTGTTCCTCGTAGCATAACTACCACTAGGGCTGTTACAAGACAAGTGTCGCTACAGAGAGTCACGAATTACTAGGATAATTACAGGGACTCGCGCTGTTCTCTGCAATGCGTCTCTCACTGTACCTGACACAACTAAAAAAAGGGAAATTTTTATTATGGCACTTATAGTCTCTTCTGAGTACCTGTGAATAATTTTTAGTTCTTGTTGTGGTGTGTCCTGACAGCCGCGGTGTGGACGTGGAGGACATAAATGATGTCGGGTGTGGCCTCACTGCTGTTGTACCTGATTGTCACTGTCTGCCTGACTGTCGCCCAGCTGCCTCGCCCTGATGGTAAGTTTTGTTACTGACTGTCGCCCAGCTGCCTCGCCCTCACGGTGACAACACAAGCAACATACACGTCTAGGTATTGTCAGTAATGCTCAGTGATACCACACAGATGGTGTTCATCAACTTGATTGCCACTGAGAATTTTCTTACAGGTATAATACTCACACCGAGATAATTTATTCACACAAGACTGATATACTCTTTTAGCCACAGAGAACCATGTTGGCTCAATACAGTCTTTCTAGACGCAGATAAAGTGTTGCCCCTTTTTCTCTGTTCAGTGAAATTACTTCAAGTTATTGTGTTCCTCAGGTGCGGGAGAGACGCTGAGCGTGGCGGGGGCGGCTGTGGCGGCTGTGGCGGCCACAGTGTGGCGGCCTCGCTGCTCCGTCATCCTCCTCACAGACGGCACCACCTCCTCCACCACTGTGTTCACGGTGAGTCAACACTACTGCACCTTCACCTGTGTTATTATATTACCTGGCCACAGGTAACACTACTGCACCTTCACCTGTGTTATTATATTACCTGGCCACAGGTAACACTACTGCACCTTCACCTGTGTTCTTATATTACCTGGCCACAGGTAACACTACTGCACCTTCACCTGTGTTCTTATATTACCTGGCCACAGGTAACACTACTTTACTATAACACTGAGCTTCAGTTGGTGTTATTTTGTCACTTCAGGAGCTGGGAGGGCTGGGAGCCCCCTGGGGGGTGACGGTGTTCCAGGTGGCAGCAGAAGGCAAAAGTCCAAACATGACGGAGGCGCTGCTGTCCCGGCTGGTGGCCCAGGCTCGACGGGTAGGTGTTTAATACAGGTGTGGGTGTAGTAACAGGTGGGTGGGTGCAGTGGCAGGTGTGTGGGGCTAAGCATCCAAATATTTTTCACACGTGTCTAAGTGTACCACAGCTGCCTCACTCACCTCGCTGTCTATTGGTGTGTGTTTGTATGAGTTTTATGAGACATATCTGTGAGTGAGGAATGACAAACACCTTTTATCAACTTTGTGTACCAAGAAACTTTCGCTACTTTCCACTGCAATTTTCAGATAATAAAACCTAACCTAACCAAACCTAACCAAACCTAACCTAACCTAAAGTCACACTCCTGGAGACAGCCAAGGAATGTAATAAGACAATTAAATAAACAGCAACTTTCCAGCATGATTAACTATTCAGGTGTGTGTGTGTGTGTGTTGTGCGCGCGCGCGTGTGTGTGTGTGTGTGTGGTACCAAGAACTGGGGACTGTCATAGGTTATTCATGCAGACAGTAATGCAGAGATTAAGTATTGAAATTACTTTATGTTGCATCAAGTTGGATAATGGAGAATATTGACGAATACTAAGACGCACTCACACACAGATAATATGGTAGGACAGTGAGGTAGGGCAGTGAGGTAGGGCACTGAGGCAGGACAGTGAGGTAGGGTAGTGAGGTAGGATAGTGAGGTAGGATAGTGAGGTAGGACAGTGAGGTAGGATAGTGAGGCAGGACAGTGAGGCAGGACAGTGGGCGGGCAGGACAGTGAGGCAGGCAGGACAGTGAGGCAGGACACATAACTAATAACAGGTACACATCAACAGGTGAGACAGGTGTCGTGGTGCGTGACGGTGGTGGTGGTGAGCGACGACTCAGCCTTCCTCGCCGCCTCGGCTGAGTGGATCTTCAAGGGCCGCCTCCTGGTGTGGACCAACAGGCTCCTGGCCGTCACCCGCCGGCCTCTCTCTCACCTCCGCCACCTCCACACCTCCTTCTCCATGATGAACGCCATGTTGCTCCTCCTGGACGACACCTCCGGTTACCCCAGGTAATGACCAGCCGCCATGTTGCTCATCCTGGACGACACCTCCGGTTACCCCAGGTAATGACCAGCCGCCATGTTGCTCCTCCTGGACGACACCTCCGCCCCAGCCGCCGTGATCCTGGACGACACCTCCGGTTACCCCAGGTAATGACCAGCCGCCATGTTGCTCCTCCTGGACGACACCTCCGGTTACCCCAGGTAATGACCAGCCGCCATGTTGCTCCTCCTGGACGACACCTCCGGTTACCCCAGGTAATGACCAGCCGCCATGTTGCTCCTCCTGGACGACACCTCCGGTTACCCCAGGTAATGACCAGCCGCCATGTTGCTCCTCCTGGACGACACCTCCGGTTACCCCAGGTAATGACCAGCCGCCATGTGCTCCTCCTGGACGACACCTCCGGTTACCCCAGGTCCAGCCGCCATGTTGCTCCTCCTGGACGACACCTCCGGTTACCCCAGGTAATGACCAGCCGCCATGTTGCTCCTCCTGGACGACACCTCCGGTTACCCCAGGTAATGACCAGCCGCCATGTTGCTCATCCTGGACGACACCTCCGGTTACCCCAGGTAATGACCAGCCGCCATGTTGCTCCTCCTGGACGACACCTCCGGTTACCCCCAGGTAATGACCAGCCGCCATGTTGCTCCTCCTGGTGACCGTCAGCTGTGCCCTCCAGGTAAATAATAACACGATATTTGGTGTAATATAACAATGCATAATCCAGAAACACTATTGACGTACCCTCTGCCCGTACAGGTGTAGTGTGTACCTGTTCCTGCCCTACAGCCCACCAGGAGCCAGCGGGGTGAAGGTGGCAACTTGGACACATGAACGAGGCCTCCAGCTGACCTCACCCCTCCAGCTCTTCCCTGATAAGTTTACCAGGTGAGCTGATACTCTTATACTCCTAAAACATCGGCAACATTTATACGTACCGGGGATAATAATAATAATAATAATAATAATAATAATAATAATAATAATAATAAAATCTACCTGGTAACAACCCACACTCACCTCAACACCAGACCACACCTGTACACCTTAGATAGTCCAGGTTAATTGGCTCTACTCGTAAAGAACCATTCACCTGTAATAGACTGCGAGTGATAAATTCCCCTCATAGTGATAGAAGCCATTTCCTCACCTGTAATAGCCAGGATGATGACACTCACTCGACCCAGGGTTAGTGGAAAATCAGTATTAACGATTCAATATAAATTACTTAAAGGTTTTGCTAGTTATTCATATATTGTACATTACTGAACAATGACGTAGAACTTAATAGGAACAGTAACACTTAATAGTTAGCAAGCAGTAGGCATCACGAAAATTGTGACCAAGTCCCAGGTTGCTGATCTGACTTTCTGTCTCATTTACACACAATTGCAGGTCTCAATTGTTTCTCTTACTTTGACAACACAACATACATAATATATATCGTTTCTCACTCTTTGTGGTTATCAGCATATACTTGGATCACGCGCACCTACATTGATTTATTTGCACACACACACACACACACACACACACACACATATATATATATATATATATATATATATATATATATATATATATATATATATATATATATATATATATATATATATATAATATTTTTTCTTTTAATATTTGTATTAATTGATATTAATTTATTATTATTATTATTATTATTATTATTATTATTATTATTATTATTATATCCCCCCCCCAGGCCCTGATATGGGTAGTGTGAGAGGTGTGTTGTGGTGGCAGGTTAATGATGCAGGTATCAACCAGGTAGTGTGAGAGGTGTGTTGTGGTGGCAGGTTAATGATGCAGGTATCAACCAGGTAGTGTGAGAGGTGTGTTGTGGTGGCAGGTTAATGATGCAGGTATCACCCAGGTAGTGTGAGAGGTGTGTTGTGGTGGCAGGTTAATGATGCAGGTATCACCCAGGTAGTGTGAGAGGTGTGTTGTGGTGGCAGGTTAATGATGCAGGTATCCAACCAGGTAGTGTGAGAGGTGTGTTGTGGTGGCGGGTTGTGAGTGCGGGTATCCAACCAGGTAGTGTGAGAGGTGTGTTGTGGTGGCGGGTTAGCTGATGCAGGTATCAGCCAGGTAGTGTGAGAGGTGTGTTGTGGTGGCAGGTTAATGATGCAGGTATCACCCAGGTAGTGTGAGAGGTGTGTTGTGGTGGCAGGTTAATGATGCAGGTATCAACCAGGTAGTGTGAGAGGTGTGTTGTGGTGGCGGAGTTAATGATGCAGGTATCAACCAGGTAGTGTGAGAGGTGTGTTGTGGTGGCGGGTTAATGATGCAGGTATCAACCAGGTAGTGTGAGAGGTGTGTTGTGGTGGCAGGTTAATGATGTCTGAGTATCAACCAGGTAGTGTGAGAGAGAGGTGTGTTGTGGTGGCAGGTTAATTATACAGGTATCAACCAGGTAGTGTGAGAGAGGTGTGTTGTGGTGGCGGTTAATGATGCAGGTATCGAAAAGCCGGGTAGTGTGAGGGTGTGTTGTGGTGGCAGGTTAATGATGCAGGTATCCAGCCAGGTAGTGTGAGGGAAGGTGTGTTGTGGTGGCGGGTTAATGATGCAGGTATCACTTTGGGTAGTGTGTGAGGTGTGTTGTGGTGGCGGTTAATTATACAGGTATAAACCAGGTAGTGTGAGAGGTGTGTTGGGGTGGCAGGTTAATGATGCAGGTATCAACCAGGTAATGTGAGAGGTGTGTTGTGGTGGCAGGTTAATGATGCAGGTATCAACCAGGTAATGTGAGAGGTGTGTTGTGGTGGCAGGTTCGTCCATCGGCCGCAGTTGGTGGTGGCGGCGGAGGAGTTTCAGCCTCACGTGTTGGTCAAGGCGACTGAGGCGCCTGGACGGTCGCTCTCCTTCGCGGGACCCATGGCCGAGCTCCTCCACCTCCTGGCCAACACACTCAACTTTACGTGAGTTCATCTCTCACCCACACACTCAACTTTACGTGAGTTCATCTCTCTCACTCACACACTCAACTTTACGTGAGTTCATCTCTCTCACCCACACACTCAACTTTACGTGAGTTCATCTCTCTCACTCACACACTCAACTTTACGTGAGTTCATCTCTCTCACCCACACACTCAACTTTACGTGAGTTCATCTCTCTCACCCACACACTCAACTTTACGTGAGTTCACCTCTCTCACCCACACACTCAACTTTACGTGAGTTCACCTCTCTCACCCACACACTCAGCACGTGAGTTCATCTCTCTCACCCACACACTCAACTTTACGTGAGTTCATCTCTCTCACCCACACACTCAACTTTACGTGAGTTCATCTCTCTCACCCACACACTCAACTTTACGTGAGTTCATCTCTCTCACCCACACACTCAACTTTACGTGAGTTCATCTCTCTCACCCACACACTCAACTTTACGTGAGTTCATCTCTCTCACTCACACACTCAACTTTACGTGAGTTCATCTCTCTCACTCACACTCCAACTTTACGTGAAGGTTCATCTCTCTCACCCACACACTCCAACTGCACGTGGGTTCATCTCTCTCACTCACACTCAAGCAGTTCATCTCTCTCTCACTCACACACTCAACTTTACGTGAGTTCATCTCTCTCACCCACACACTCAACTTTGCGTGAGTTCATCTCTCTCCACTCACACCTCAACTGCATTAGGGGTTCATCTCTCTCACCCACACACTCAACTTTACGTGAGTTCATCTCTCTCACCCACACACTCAACTTTACGTGAGTTCATCTCTCTCACCCACACACTCAACTTTACGTGAGTTCATCTCTCTCACCCACACACTCAACTTTACGTGAGTTCATCTCTCTCACCCACACACTCAACTTTACGTGAGTTCATCTCTCTCACTCACACACTCAACTTTACGTGAGTTCATCTCTCTCACCCACACACTCAACTTTACGTGAGTTCATCTCTCTCACCCACACACTCAACTTTACGTGAGTTCATGTCTCTCACTCATACACTCAACCTTAGTAGTTTTGTTGATAACGATAGTTTAATAAAAACAAACAGGAATGCTTCAATAATAATGCCGCCATAACAGCAGGTGTCGTATGGCTCTCCAGGTACATCTTCAGACGACCTCCTGATGGATCCTGGGGAGCTAAGCAGCCTGATGGGACCTGGACGGGTATGGTGGGCATGGTGGGTAGGCAGGTGAGTGACACAACAAGGCCATTTTAATCCAGCAAATGAGACCCAGTAAAGGACATCTGACAACAACAGGGACTACAACTACCCCCTTAACTCCTGACCCTGAATGCCATGTTATACTGTATTTTAAAATCCTTTATATAATCTGTATATCAACTTTATTACCATTTACCATATATACCTCGTTAACATGTTATCTTTCTTGGTTACAGGAGGCTGATCTCGGTCTCGGGCCCTTCGGTATCAGCGCTACACGAGCCGAGATGGTTGACTTCACTCGACCAATACTCATAGACTACGCTAGGATCATGGCAGGTCGAGGGCGTCCAGAGATAGATCCATGGGGCTTCTTCTTACCCTTGGCGCCCTTAGTGTGGGTGTCGATCCTGATGGCGCTGCTGGTGGTGTTCTTCGCCAATCTCCTCCTGTATATCTGTTCCCCACCTCATGACGCACGCAATGGACTGTGGCTATTGAATACGATATACGATTATTTGTGTGTGTTGTTACATCAGGGTGAGTAGTGGCGACGCTATTACCTGTTTACCTGTTCCTCCTTCATAGCACTTCACAACTGTATGGGTTAATAGGAAACACACTCAAGCTAATAGGAAACACACTCAAGCTAATAGGAAACACACTCAAGCTAATAGGAAACACAGTCAAACTAATAGGAAACACACTCAAAATAATAGGTTAGGTTTAGGTTAGGTTAGGGCTAGGTTAGGTTAGGTTTAGGTTAGGTTAGGTTAGGTTTAGGTTATGATTATGTCCCAGTGTTACCTTCCTGCAGACGTCCAACAGCCTCTTGTCTGGTGGTGGGAGAGACTGGTGCTGGGTGGCTGGCTCCTGATGACTCTGGTGTTAACACAGAGCTACTCAGGTACTCTCATGTCCCTCCTGGCGGTGAGATACATCCCTCAGCCCCTCCAGACTCTGAGAGACCTCCTGAACGAACACTCCATCACCATGATCTGGGAGGCTAACACAGCTTATGTCCAGTACTTGAAAGTAAGTCCCTAGTGTTTAATTATTTACTCTCACTTTGTAAATATTTTTTATACTAATACTTTTACCATTATATCTGGCTGTTGGTGATTTGATTTGTGTTGGTAATACTTTCTGGGGTTGAGACGCAGTACCAAGTGAGGTGGTAGGAGAGTCGTGTACACATCACTTTCTCAACGTGATATTGATTCTGTCTTGGAATTTCCCTTGTACATAATTTTCTTAGTTCTATCTTACTGTCAGTTTTTATTTATTTTTTTTTGGGGGGGGGGCATTAAATCACCGCTTCCTCCCTCCCTTCTTCCCTCCGAATGTTATCCTTCCCTAACCTAACCTAACCTAACCTTTTACTAACACTATCATTATTATTATTTTCTTTATACTAAGTCAGCTGAGTCGGGCATCTTCCGGGAGGTGATGGACACGGAGAAGGCAGGTCGCATCATGTACGTGAAGAGCACCGAGTATACTTACATGCGGGACGAGTTGGTGAGGCTGGGCACACACGTCTTCCTGGGTGAAGACCTCAGTGGCAAGGTCCTCATGGCTCAAGACTTCTCCAATACAGGTCATCTTTAACTACACTATATACAGTTATTTTCATCAAGTGCTTTTACATGTTGGAGATACGTGTATACCTTAGGTGAGTCAAATTTGTAAGTTACAATATCTCTCTCTGGTATCTACAGGTCGGTGTGACTTCTACGCATCTAAGGAGATCTTTTTACCCTTCATGTTCTGTATGATTGGCCAGAAGAACAGTCCCTTACTCCTCTCTTTAAATGAAAGGTACACACACGCCACTAAACCAAGAGCATCCAGCATCTCTGTCTTTATTCTATGAGTTTTAAACATCATCTTTCTGTATAACATCTATATAAAATATCATTATTCGTTGTAGTTATTTATAAAACTTCGTCACATCATATAAGTTAGTCTCATCATAAGGGGAACCAAATGTATTGAGTCTCTGTTGTGTTTACTTGAATGTTTACGTCGTGTAGGATCAGGTCGGTGACGGGGGCTGGTCTGTATGGTCACTGGATGTCCTCTACCATACCTAACTCCACCTCCTGTGTCAACGCTCCCACCACCATCACCATCAACACCTCCCTCTCACTCACCAACCTCTGGGTAATATCAATAACCCTCATCACTTTAACTCAGAATACCAGCTTTACATTACACTATGGTAGACTATGGTAAGTAGGGTGTCCCAGAAAAATGTCCCTGCCTGTTCCTTACCTCCCTCCCTCCCTGCTTGCTCCCTGCCACTCTACTTCCCTCCCAACAACTCACAGTGTCTCAAGGAGCAGGCAGGGAGGGAGCAGGCAGGGAGGGAGCAGGCAGGAAGGAAGGGAATTTTTTCTGGGACACACTATACATTCCATCCCATTTAGCTGCTAATATAACGTAATATATAACTCACACATCCATATAGAAGGTTGATATATAATCCTGGTGGTATTTTAATAGTTATAAGTTATATAGCCATTGTAGTATAAGTGTTAGTTGGTAGTAGAGGTTTTTGTTGATATTTTGTCATGTGTGTTACAGGGAATGTTTGTACTGCTGGCTGGGGGTCATCTTCTGGCCCTGGTAGTGCTGGGCCTCGAGCTGCTCTCCGTCAGGAACTTCTACAATAGAGATCCTGTGAAGCTTTTTATCTAAAGTGAGGTTCTTCATTATACGACATGTTGTGATGAATAACCAACTCACAACCTCTCCTGAAGATAAACTCACTTTACATTACTTCCTCGTGACTTTGAACCAATAAATATCTTCCTAAGCAATTCGTGTTCCTTTTCTCGTCATTAATGTTTATTTATTTAAACTATATAAAAAATAGTTGTATCGTGGTACAAAAATCAGGGCGATGACAATCTATACTACCATGAAAAAAAAAATGACTGTAGAACTCCAGTAAAATGTAAACAAACCCTAGTGTATGTGATCTAGTATACACAATGTTTGGTGGATATGATCTAGTCTACACAGTGACCAACGTGTCTTAGGTGGTCATAATAAGGGACTAGATCTCTCGCATTGCTGGTTCTTTTTACCATGACTACACAACAAACTAGACGCACTCATAAAGACGTGAAAAGTGAGAGTGAAGGAAAGTTTCGTCTCTCTCTCGTTGGTACAGCACTACGTCATAAATAAACTTCTCCTTGACTCAATAATGTCTATGAACAGAAAAAAACACCTATAATTTATCACCATTATAGACCTGAAGACTATAACCTCATCTCTGGAATTATACCACAATAAATATATAAGAATATTTAACAATGTAATAAAAATATTAACTTGTAATGGCGGCGTTAATGAGTGTTTACATTTATACTTGTACAGGTAATTGATTCAATATTTAGAAACCGTTCAGGAAAATAAAACCAGTGAACTTTATTGTTTTTAAACTATGGTGAAAGGTTATACAGGATAATTGGGTTGTTAGGACTTATAGTACACAAGATGGTCTGCTTGTTAGGTTGTTCATCTCCTCCTCCTCCTTGTTCCGAGTGGGTTTGTTTTGTTAAGCTTATTATGTCAGGTTTGTGTAATATATCTAACTTAACAATATTGAAAGAAGAGGAAATGTTCAATAATAGTTTTATATGTTTGTGGTAATGTTTGTGTTTTGATAATGTTGATAGTGTTCCTTTATTTACATTGTTCAAAATGTTTACTTAGACGAAAAAATAATTATGTAAAATGTTCTCTCGCCGACGATCTTCTGATGTATGTTCCTCTCGTCGGGTAATGAACAACACTTTGAAGCCCCGATGGTTTTATGTCTCAGGTGTTTCAGAGGTTCGAATCCAGTGATGACTTGTGTAGAAAATATTACTCAGCAGTATTACACAAACATCACTTTATTAACATTTATCTATGTATACCTTTAATTATAACTACACCAAATAATACCATTGATCCTGAGTAACTGTGTGGCATAAAACTGAGGTAGATTGAGTCAAAATCCAAACCGTTTCACATGAATGAGACAATGGTAATCTCGACTACCTTTGCGGAAGGTTCAAACTGCTGCCAGTGTTGTTACTACCGTGGTCGCGTTAACACGTTGGGGTGGAGTGGAGTGTTTAGACCAGAATATGTGTGTGTACGATATTACTGTGATCCTTCATACAGTACAGGTGAGTTCAGGACCTCTTGTTATCCTAGGACGGATGTGTTTAGTATTTATATGATCGTAGGACAGATGTGTTCATTACCGGGACAGTTCACAGACAGGTGTTCTCCATGTTGCTGGTTATCTTGGTAAACTTCAGCTTAATGGATATCATCATCATTGTAAACACTATAGAACAGGTGTATCAGTTATTAGTGAAGCTCTTGGACAGGTGTTAAGTGTTATGATCAGAGGATAATAATCATCTTTGGGCAGTGAAACAACTAGTGGCATTTTTAATCTTTATTGAGAATGAAGATCTAAACCAGTGGTTCTTAACCTTTTTAGGGTCGTGCCCCCTATAGCAGTTAGCCCTCATCTGCACGTCACCCTCCCTCCTTCATATAAAAATCTAAATCTAAATATTCTTAAACAATTTCCTCTTGAATTAAATAGGAAAATTGATAAACTATTTTTTCATTCGTTACTGTAATAACTTTAATTATTCAAAAGAGTCTGTATAAGCAACTCGTTAATACACAACATATTTAGTGAGATTTTTGTCATTGCCTCTGAGCTACCAGATCCTGAATACGTGCCGCGTGCCAGACAGATCACAGCGCAAGTCCCCTTCAACGTTCAGCTTGTTTCTGTATTTGGTCTTGACAGCAAACCAGTGCAGGAAATGCGGCCTCACAAAGATACGTAGTTCCAAACATCGTCGGAATCCGAACAACTTGACGTACAGTTCCCGACATTATTACTACGTTAATTCAGTCACTTTTACTGGTATTTTACATTTTTATTGACGTAGTTACCATTTACGACTTTTTGAAGTATCTGTGGGGAGCGAAAATCCAAATAAGGACATACACACACCTGTTAAAGCCATTCCTTATTTTTGCTCTGAGTTCGCCCCCCTCTATATAAGTTACTCAAGGCCTTAGGGTGACGTGCTCCCCCGGTTAAGAACCGCAGATTTAACCTAACCTTGGGCTCTATCCTGTGCTGGAAATCGTATTAAGTTCACTAAGCTTATGTTCTTTCACTAAGTAAACTAACGGTGGTCGTGGGGTGTATCTCGTCCTAGCAGTGGGGAAGCTTAATCGTGGTCGTGGGGTGTGTCACTCCAGCTGTGGAGAAGCTTGGGTGTGAGCAACTCGAGGCCCAGCACCACCAGGGCCAGCAAGTGACCCCCAGCCAGCACCACAAACATCCCCTGTAATAGACAAAATGTTAGACACCAGATCTTCCCAATGCATTAAAGTGAATCTGTTCAGCTGTATCGTGTACGTCTGTGAATATCAATCTAGATGTATTACTGAATCAACACTGCGCAGCTCATGACTATATAGTCACCAGGCGGATGATGGTAATAGTTTACACCAGTGCTCGTCAGAATGACCAACTTTGGGAAATATTATATAGAAGAAAACTTGCTTCTTTCTTCCCGAATATTAAAAAAAAGTTTGGAGGAATTGTAACTTTTACACTTTTGTTTTTGTGATTTGCACAAGCTGAAGATGAACTTAGTCATGCGCCTTACGTGATGCTGCTGTTACCAGCCGACCACAGACCAACTGTTTTTCATAACTAAGATAAACCAACCAATCAAACCTTTCCCAAACTCTTAACATATTTATCCTATGATGGAACTGCATTATTTTTGGTTAGGTTATATAGTTTTGTTTGTTTTGAGTAGGTTAGGTTATATAGGTTTGTTAGTAAGTTATTTTGTTAAGTTAATATGGAATGGTTTCTGGAAGGTGTTTGGTTGCTTAACCTTAGGAGTGCTCACTGGCAAGTATATCAACAGTTTAACCATAAATATAACATCTGCGCTTGAACAAATTAAAATAACAACAAAAACAAAAGATAGAAAGTTTCAATTCCTCCAATAATTTTTGGGATATACGAGTGGTAAGAAACAAGTTTTCTTTTATGTAATATTTTCCTACAACTGCTCATTCTACCGAGCGCTGACATAAAGTATTACCCATATCTTAAAAACACCTCATACCCAGACGTTGGTGAAGGTGAGCGACGTCTGGACAGTGATCTTGGTGGGCGCCCGGACACACGAGGTAGAGTTAGGGATCATGTTTTCTAGCCAGTGCCAGTATAGTCCTGCCTCAGTCACCACCTTGATCCTGTGCCATATAAAAACTTCATAAATTATCACATTTAAGGTTGTTTTGTTTCTAAGATTATTGAAAAAAGTTAATACCTATAGGACAGTGAAGGAGAATACCTTTTACTTAAGGCCGGAACCAGAGGGCTGTTCTTCTGGCCGATCATAGCAAACATGAAGGGCAGAAACATCTCCTTTGATGAGTAAAAGTCACACGCACCTGTCAGATACAACCACCAGTGTTATGACTTATTTTGATAATTTTATAAGGTTGGTAGTTTAGCTTCTCTTTCATTTAAGTAAAAAAAAGTGCCATAAAGATACAACTTGTAAGATGATGAAGTGGAATGGTTGGGATATTTCACAGTGGATGTGTCAGCAAGCGGGGCAATTAGGGATGAGGTAAAGAGCCTTTGCTGCAACAAAGGTGACAGTGATAGAGTTGTACAGGAAATTCTTGAGTCATAATTAACAAGAGATGACTCTAGACGTAAGACGAAGGAAGAAATCGGAATCAACAGAAATATTCTCGATAACAACAAGTGAGATAAACAGGAAGTTTAGAAAACAACCCGGACATATTTCTCACATATAAGGGCTTGGAGAACTGTATATAGTGTACTTAAAGATGACCTGTATTGGAGAAGTCTTGAGCCATGAGGACCTTGCCACTGAGGTCTTCACCCAGGAAGACGTATGTGCCGAGCCTCACCAACTCATCCCGCATATAAGTATACTCGGTGGTCTTCACGTAAATAATACGACCTTCCTTCTCCGAGTCCATCACCTCCCGGAAGATGCCCGACTCTACTGACTTAGAAAAGACATTCAGGAAATATTGAAAGAGTTAGTGAGATTCAGATTTAACTTGAAATTTCAAGTACAAAGTTTTTATTTTAGCTTGTTAAAGGTTATGCCATACCACAACAGTTATGTTTCAGTTTACATACCGTTTTTGTAGAGCGATATCGAAGGTCATTACTTAAACCAATAAAAATTCCCAATTGTGTAGCCTCATCCGAAGGCTCTTTGCACTTGTTGGGTATTGTTTAATTATGAAAATATATTTTTCGCAGACATACAGTTCTTGAGGAGGAATACCTCACCAGAAATGATTTTCAGTAAAGATTAAACATATTTACTCACACGAAGATACTGCACATACATGGTGTTCGCCTCCCAGACCATGGTGGTGGCGGGGTCGTCCAACAGGTCCCTCAGGTACTCATAGGGTTGAGGGATGTATCTCACCGCCAGGATGGACATGAGGGTGCTAGCGTAGCTTCTTGATAACACCAACACCATCACCATCCACCCCCCTAGCACCAGCCTCTCCCACCACTGTACACCAAGCACGGATGTGTCTGTAGGAACACCAGATTCCCATCGTGATTTCCTGAACGACAGTGATAAAGAATGGACTTGGAAAACCTACTTGGATATCCCAGCTTAAGTGAGATTAATAATTTGAATCCATCGAAGAAGTGACTTACCCTGTTGAAGCAACACTCGAGAGTAGGAGAAGACTGTTTCTGTCATCCAGGTATCCCGCTGAGCTGTCTTGGGTATGAAACACAGGTACAACAGAACGGAAATAGTGAATAACAGCAGCAGTGTCGCCAGAATGCCTGTCCACACTTGCGGGGTGAAGGGCAGAAGGAAGCCCCATGGATCCACCTCTGGTAAGCCTCGACCTGCCATGATCCTGCCGTAGTCAACCAGGATAGGGCGGGTGTAGTCGACCATCTCAGCGCGAACAGAAGTCACAGCGAAGGGCCCGAGCCCCACGTCCGCCTCCTGCGTGTGTGTGAACAGGATTGTTTCTTGTGACACTTAGCAAGACTCAGATGTTTATTACTGTGTTTTCCATACTGCCCATACCTGTCTCACGACCCACCACACCTACCTGCCTACCCACCATGCCCACCATGCCAGTCCATGCACCATCTGGCAGCTTGACGCCCCAGGAGCCATCAGGAGGTCGGAGGAAGGTGTACCTGGAAGAGAAATTGTGAAAAACTGTTATACGGTTTTGCCTTTCAATTAGATTTCATTCTTTGGTGATTTATTGTCGAATTACATTTGTTATGAGGCGAATTACTTTAACCTGTAAGGAAAACTAATGTGTGTGTTAGTGGGGTTGATATTGTGACTGTACATGGAAGTTGAAATGTGGGTGAGAGAGGTGAACTCACGTAAAGTTGAGTGTGTGGGTGAGAGAGGTGAACTCACGTAAAGTTGAGTGTGTGGGTGAGAGAGGAACTCAATGAAGTTGAGTGTGTGGAGAGAGGTGAACTCACGTAAAGTTGAGTGTGTGGGTGAGAGAGGTGAACTCACGTAAGTTGAGTGTGTGGGAGAGAGGTGAACTCACGTAAAGTTGAGTGTGTGGGTGAGAGAGGTGAACTCACGTAAAGTGAGTGTGTGGGTGAGAGAGGTGAACTCACGTAAAGTTGAGTGTGGGTGAGAGAGGTGAACTCACGTAAAGTTGAGTGGGTGAGAGGTGAACTCACTTAAAGTTGAGTGTGTGTGGGTGAGAGAGGTGAACTCACGAAAGTTGGAGTGTGTGGGTGAGAGAGGTGAACTCACGTAAAGTTGAGTGTGTTGGCCAGGAGGTGGAGGAGCTCGGCCATGGGTCCCGCGAAGGAGAGCGACCGTCCAGGCGCCTCAGTCGTCTTGACCAACACGTGAGGCTGATACTCCTCTGCCGCCACCACCAACTGCGGCCGATGGACGAACCTGCCACCACAACACACCTCTCACACTACCTGGTTGATACCTGTATAATTAACCTGCCACCACAACACCTCTCACACTACCTGGTTGACAACAGTATAATTAACCTGCCACCACAACACACCTCTCACACTACCTGGTTGATTCCAGTATAATTAACCTGCCACCACAACACACCTCCTCACACTACCTGGTTGATACATGTATAATTAACTCCACAACACACCTCTCACACTACCTGGTTGATACCTGTATAATTAACCTGCCACCACAACACACCTCTCACACTACCTGGTTGATACCTGTATAATTTACCTGCCACCACAAAACCCTCTCGTCTTCCGTAATAAAGTTATCATTCAAACTTTGATTACTTTTCCATATGCAATACTCTTACACCAATGTCTGTCTGTCTGTCTGTCTGTCTGTGTGTCTGTCTCACATTAAGTGAAAAACTTTACCACCAATCTGTTAAATCTTCAAATTTTTGCCATTTGTTTCTGGGATGTGAACCTTTGTCTCGCTAATTTACAATTCCACGGAGTGAAGATAACGAGTGTTGAGGTGTAGGTGTCGGGGCGTGATGACTTACCTGTAGAACTTGTCAGGGAAGAGCGGGAGGTGTGTAGTGAGGACGAGGCCGTGCCGGGAGGACCACGTCGCTATCTCTAACACCTGGGCGTCCTGAGAACTGTACGGGAGATGCACGTACACGCTACACCTGTCAACACAACACTACTGTACTGTACGGTAAGTAGAAGTACATGTTATAATCTAAAGTTTATTTTTGTGATCAGAATTATCTTGTGTTCACCTTATGTAATAGTAGTATCTTACATGGTACCTGAGAGGGAGGGTGACTGAGGGTTGGTGAGACGCGGGACAATCTAGCTATATTTGATACCTTTTTTAATTAAATGACTCGTACCTCAAACTTGATAGAGTTGTGACTTTTGCGATGATAGATTACTCACCCCGAACATGGCCAGTCATGAAATTAGACTCTTTATGACGAGCCATATACAGTACAGTAACAGTTGAGAATAAGCTAAGGGAAAGAGCGTCCAGGGGGAGCAACATGGCGGCTGGTCATTACCTGGGGTAACCGGAGGTGTCGTCCAGGAGGAGCAACATGGCGTTCATCATGGAGAAGGAGGTGTGGAGGTGGCGGAGGTGAGAGAGAGGCCGGCGGGTGACGGCCAGGAGCCTGTTGGTCCACACCAGGAGGCGGCCCTTGAAGATCCACTCAGCCGAGGCGGCGAGGAAGGCTGAGTCGTCGCTCACCACCACCACCGTCACGCACCACGACACCTGTCTCACCTGTTGATGTGTACCTGTTGTTAGTTATGTGTCCTGCCTCACTGTCCTGCATGCCCCACTGTCCTGCCTTACTGTCCTGCCTCACTGCCCTGCCTCACTAGTACTGTGAGTGACCTACCCGTCGAGCCTGGGCCACCAGCCGGGACAGCAGCGCCTCCGTCATGTTTGGACTTTGCCTTCTGCTGCCACCTGGAACACTGTCACCCCCAGGAGGCTCCCAGCCTCCCAGCTCCTGAAGTGACAAAATAACACCAACTGAAGCTCAGTATTATAGTGAATAGTGTTACCTGTACAGGTTATAAGAACACAGGTGAAGGTAGTAGTGTTTCCTGTGGCCAGGTAATATCAGGACACAGGTGAAGGTGCAGTAGTGTTACCTGTGGCCAGGTAATATAAGAACACAGGTGAAGGTGCAGTAGTGTTACCTGTCCAGGTAATATAAGAACACAGGTGAAGGTGCAGTAGTGTTGACTCACCGTGAACACAGTGGTGGAGGAGGTGGTGCCGTCTGTGAGGAGGATGACGGAGCAGCGAGGCCGCCACACTGTGGCCGCCAAGCCGCCACAGCCGCCCCCGCCACGCTCAGCGTCCTCCTGCACCTGAGGAACACAACAGTGTTGATGATGATGACATGAGAAAGATGTTTACACTATTATGAGAAGACCAACCAACACGTAGAGACAACTGTTGTCAACTACAGACCTTTATTAACTTATAAAATATTAATTAACTTCATCAATCAGTCAGAGGTTATAACTTACCCTGAGGGCGAGGCAGCTGGGCGACAGTCAGGACCAACAGCAGTGAGGCCGCACCAGCCGTCATCACCCCCGGCTGTCGGGACACATCAACAACAAATAGAAAAATCTTAAAATATGAACAATATATTTACAAAGAAATTGACAACTGTTTCTTAGTTAACAAATTCATTAACAAATCGCAATGTTTTTATCCGGTGAAGAGACCAGATAGCTGTAGTGTACTCTTATTGGTCAGCTGAAAAACATTACGATATTTTCCCTGATCTTAACTTTTAGTCTTGGAAATATTGGAATCTGAGTGACGTAATTAAGAATCATTTATATATATTTGTTCATATATCTGGCTATCGTTAGTACCTTTATCTTGATGTTATCTGTTGGTCAGGGTCCTGTTATCTTTGTATAGTTTGTGTATAAATTCAGGATAGAAGTGTGTTGAGTCAGGGACGAGGGAGGCGTATTTAAGTTCAGTTTAATCCTATCTTAGTCTTCTTCTTCACCTTTACTCCGCCATTCTCTCTTATCATATCCTCCTATTCTTGAGGTTTGTATTTATCTTCTTCCATTAAACGTAAAGAAGTGAGCGAAGATGAAAGAGAAGAGAGATATATAGAGGTAAAAGATGTTCTGTAGTTCGCCGCGTGTTGACATAATTCAAGGTTTGAAATGAAGGATATTTCACCATATATATATATATATATATATATATATATATATATATATATATATATATATATATATATATATATATATATATATATATATATATATATATATATATATATATATATATATATATATATTTATTTATTTATTTATTTATTTATTTATTAAGGTGTAAATATATATTTTTTTGCAGGAGTAATGAAATTATGTTGGAAAAGTAAAAGGTTTTAAATTGTAGCATCTTAACACCTGGCAGTGTACAGAGAATTCCAAACTTACAATATTTGTGACTTTAATAATAACATTCATAATAAAACCAACAAATATGGAGTCACAGTAAGAAATATTACGTCGTGCCAGTGTCGGTGCCCAGAGGCCAACAGACAACTCGGTATTATCAGTTCCCACAAGTGTAAACGGAGTTAGTGAATCCTCTGTCCAGGAAGAGTTCATGTAGAAGGCGCGTTTATGTTGATTTTCACTGAACACTTAGAACTATGGCCGGTGAAAGGCCCCAACTGTGTGGCCGAGATCTTGTGTCGTAAACAATGTATAGGCGAGAGGTTACTGTGTGGGTCCGTCAGCATCAGGCTCCATGAGCTATTATTTCCTTGTTGTTTCTGGGTTCGTATCCCTGAGAGCTGTGTTGATACTGGAACAGTTTAAAAGTAAACTTGAGGTCATGTTCACACAACATGGGTTTAAATATTGCATGGAGGAGGTCTGTGGAGGAGCTCTCTGTCCTGAACGCAGTGAGGCCCCGTGTCTGAGAGGCAGCAGGGCTGAGAGGCCGAGGAGGACCTTGTGCCGCTGACAAAAGTTGAAACTTGGTGAACCATAAGGTTGGCGCGTCCTTCAGCCATGGCCGGGGATGGTGCGAGGTCTGCCACTGCGGGGTCTAGTGTTGACGTTGCCTCCAGCTGCCACCTTCTGATCCACCTGTACACGGTCGTCACGTTGGTGTCAGTTTGAGAGCAATGTCACGGACAGACATGCCGTCAACCCACATCAACACAAACTTCGCGCGGTCGTCTGCGCTCGTCGGCCTGAACACTCGACGCCGCACCATAATAGTCTGAGAAAATAAGATTATTTTTGGGGGTGGGTGAGGCATCTCTGGACATCACTTGATATGAAGCTAAACTATCTGAATCCCTGAACTCTATAGGAGTCGCCTACTGATGCTTTAGTGCGCGAAAGTGTACGCGAGCTCGCCCTGGAGGAGCTGTGACAGTGTGTGTGTGTTTATTAATGGAAGGAGTGAACACAAACCTGGGTAGTGGCGGCGGACATACTCACCTCCACAGACACACCTCACCACAGCCTCACCCCTCACAACTCGGCATAAGCTGAGGTAAAAAAGGTCATGTTGTGTCTTACAGCAGTAGTGTGGGAAGCCTGGAAGCTGGTGTCAGAAGGTGTTCGTACCTACCTCACTGTACTTAACCTCCCCCAAACTATTTTTATTAATCTACAAAACAAATGATGGAGTAAAACTATCAGTCATTGGTTGTGAGATAAGAACTCTGATTGGTCGACTTTAACTGGGGAAAATAAATATGGTGACCTGAGATGCAACACTGGCTGTGATTGGCAAGTGAATGCTTTTCTTATCAACTTTGTGTAGGAGGATGACACTCAACAGAGGATGGTAAAAGATTTGATTAATTATACATCACACTAGACTAAAGTGCAGTATTTAATAATGATAGAAGGAAGAATAAAGGACTAGTTTGATATAGAGTTACAGTTAAGGATGATTAAAAATGAGACAGAAAAGAAAAGTAATTTTGAGAGAGAGGAATTTAAGTTGTATAATATTAATAAAACACAAAATTAAAACCAAAAAAGCAGGGATCTTTTGTTGGTGAGGAAGAATAGAGAAAGTTCTTTTCATGTTGTGGGACAAGCTGAAAGAGTTAGTGATCAAGACTTGGAAATACATTGTATCTCTGGCTGCATATCATCAACAAAACTATAATAATGGTGGGAACAACAAGGGGGCAGAGAAAAAAAAATGTGATAAAGAAGTAGTTAAATAAGAGGAAGTTGGTTTATAAGAGCATTAAACTTGGGAAAAAGGACTGTGGATGTTTGTCAGTAATTTATATTTTAAAAAGAAAGTGTCATATTAATAATATTAATAATAATAATAATAATAATAATTATTAAATAATAATAATAATAATAATAATATTAAAATAATAATAAAATAATAATAATAATAATAATAATAATAAACGGTTTATTAATAGGGTTTGCGGTGGCTGAAAATATACAGACTTACATTTGATTTAGACATAATGATATGTGTTGAATACATTTACAGGGCTGTACAGTACATAAATCAGGAGTTGTTTATTATTTTAACAATAGATGGGATGTGTGTGTGTGTGTGTGTTTCCCACGAGAATCTCAGAAACTACTTTACCGATCTGTAGTGATGATGGATGGTGTTATATGTAGTGATGATGATGGATGGTGTTATGTGTAGTGATGATGGATGGTGTTATATGTAGTGATGATGGATGGTGTTATATGTAGTGATGATGGATGATGTAATGATGATGGATGGTGTTATATGTAGTGATGATGGATGGTGTTATATGTAGTGATGATGGATGATGTTATATATAATGATGGATGGTGTTATATTGGTGATGATGGATGGTGTTATATGTAGTGATGATGGATGGTGTTATATGTAGTGATAATGGATGGTGTTATATGTAGTGATGATGGATGATGTTATATGTAGTGATGATGGATGGTGTTATATGTAGTGATGGATGGTGTTATATGTAGTGATGATGGATGATGTTATATGTAGTGATGATGGATGATGTTTATTAGTGATGATGGATGATGTTTATGGTGATGATGGATGTTATATGTAGTGATGATGGATGGTGTATATGTAGTGATGATGGATGATGTTATATGTAATGATGATGGATGGTGTTATATGTAGTGATGATGGATGGTGTTATATGTAGTGATGATGGATGATGTTATATGTAGTGATGATGGATGATGTTATATGTAGTGATGATGGATGGTGTTATATGTAGTGATGATGGGTGGTGTTATATGTAGTGATGATTAGACAATAAAATAATAACAGTTTAATGCCAAAAAATATACTTTGCTGTACCGTTGTAGTGAAAAACATGGTGGAACTTACATACACCGCTAATGAACTATTGATGGAAGAAGAAGTTTTGGGGACTGAACAGTGAGACGATGTGGAGCCTCCTGGAGGGTGGCGTCCTACCGTGTCCTAGCGGATGGCGCCCAGAGGGCGGCGATTCTGCTAGTGTGATATAAAGTAGAGTGATAAAGGGATCTATTGACACTTTGATAAACTGGAGAGGGAGGGAGGGAGGGATGGAGCGAGGGAGGAAGGGAGGAAGAACTATAGAGGGAGGGAGGAAGGGAAATTGTTTTGCGAAATAATGAAACACGAACATTTACATTGACAAATTTTGTTTGTTGGATATAATTAAAATATATAAAAAAATCAGTAAATTAATCTTACTTAGAGAATGCAAACCTCTCTTGGGTAATACTCTT